TCGCCTCTCAGGATGTCACCTTTGACGAGTCGGTCCCTTTTTACCGTCTCTTCCCCTACCGCACTGCCCCCCTCCCTCCCCCGCCGCTTTTCCTTGCTCCTGGTCCCCCTCCGGTAGACCCCCTTCCCCCTCAGGGTCCTGCTCCTTCAGGTGTCTCTCAGGTAGACCCTCCTCCCGTCGCTGAGCCTGTCGAGGTCACAGGTGACTCAGGTGCTGCTGCAGGTGGTACTGCTGGGAGTGCTGAGCCTGGGGGTGCTGAGCCTGCGGGTGCTGGGCCTGGGAGTGCTGGGACTGCGGGTACTGGAGCTGAGGGTACTGTGCCTGAGAGTTTGCCGCCTGGGGGTGCTGAGCCTGGGGGTGCTGCGACTGGGGGTGCTGAGCCTGCGTGTGCGGAGTCTGGGGGTGCTGCGCCTGGGGGTGCTGAGCCTGCGGGTGCTGAGCCTGGGGGTGCTGCTACTGAGCCTACGGAGCCTCGGGTTACTGCGTCTGGGGGTGCTCCGGTTCGGGGTACTGAGCAGTCTCTCACACCGCAGCAGCTTCGTGACTGGTACGTCCGGCGCTTTCGCCGTCCTAGTGGCTCGGCTGGAGTTGGGGATCCTGGGGGTGCTCGTACTGGGGGTACTGGAGCTGCCGGGACTGGTTGTTCTGGGAGCACTGCGACTGGAGCTGCTGGAGCTGGGGACTCTGGCGCTGGCGGTGCTAGCGGAGTTGGAGCTGCCGACTCTGGGGGTGGCGCTGCTGCTGGTGCTGCGGACCCGCCTGGTGGAGCTGCTGCTGGAGCTGAGGACCCGAGCGGTGGCGCTGCTGCTGGTGCTGGGGACCCGGACGTTGGAGCTCCTGCTGGTCCTGAGGACCCGGCCGCTGGAGTCTCTTCTGCTTTTGGAGACGCTGCGCGGCCGCGACCGTACTTCGTACCGCTCCTTCAGCAGGTTCTTGGGCAGGCTCCTCCTCCTTGTCCTCCTCCCTCCGTAGAGTGTCCTCCGCCTGTCCAGCCGCAGTCACAGTTACCGCCTGCCTCGCCTCTCCCTGCTCCCTCTCCTTACACTGGTCCCACAGGAGGTCTTACAGAGCGTCGTGAGCCTGAGTCTCGTCCTGCGTCGCCTGTTCGTCCTGCTCGCACTGGTAGTCGTGTCCGTCGTGAGCGTCCTCCTCCTGTCCCAGGCACTCACTACATGACTCTGCGTCCCTCTACTGCTCCTCGGCGTGTCCCTCTACCGTCTCCTCCTGCGTCCTCTTTGCCTGCCGTTCCGGACCCTGAGTCTGACCGGTATCGCGCTGAGCACCCTACAGTCACGCGTCTCCTAGCTACTGTTGTCACTGACCCTACCTTTGAGTCCTCGGCTGCGTCTGCTCTGGTCGCTGAGTTGGTTGACTTTGCTGCTGCCTGTCGTCTAGACTACGCTGCTAGCCTTGTTGCTGAGCCTGAGTCTGCGTCTGTCTGTCCTCCGTCCGTCGGGGGTGAGTGTGCTCTTGGCACGGACGTCCTTGAGGACAGGCAGGAGGACTTTGACTCTCTTGCGGCTGCTGTACCTCATCTCGTGGCCTGGTTGCTTGCCCCTGAGGGAGACCCGGATGCACTAGACATCCCCACTCCGCGCACTTACGCAGAGGCGATCTCGGGTCCCTACTCCTCTCAGTGGCAGACAGCCATGGACGCAGAGATGGCATCCTGGAAGTCCACAGGCACCTACGTCGACGAGGTTCCCCCTCCTGGGGCGAACATCGTCGATGGCATGTGGATTTTCAGGGTGAAGCGGCCGCCAGGTTCTCCGCCTGTCTTCAAGGCTCGTTACGTTGCTAGAGGCTTCAGTCAGCGTCAGGGGGTCGACTTCTTCCAGACCTTCTCCCCCACCCCGAAGATGACCACTCTTCGGGTTCTGCTGCACGTTGCTGCTCAGCGTGACTACGAGCTTCACTCTCTTGACTTCAGCACAGCGTTCCTGCAGGGCAGCCTGCACGAGGAGATCTGGCTGCGCCGCCCACCTGGTTTTACTGGGTCTTTTCCCCCTGGTACCCAGTGGAGTCTCCGCCGGCCAGTCTACGGTCTCCGCCAGGCGCCACGTGAGTGGCACGACACACTGAGGACTACACTTGCGGCTCTTGGGTTCGCGCCGTCTACTGCTGACCCGTCGCTGTTTCTGCGCACAGACACGTCGCTGCCGCCGTTCTACATTCTCGTGTACGTCGACGACTTGGTCTTTGCTACTGCTGACACTGAGGCACTCGCTCGTGTGAAGTCGGAGCTGCAGAAGAGACACACCTGCACTGACCTGGGTGAACTGCGTAGCTACCTTGGCTTGCAGATCACCCGGGACAGAGCTCGCCGCACCATCACCCTGACTCAGTCACACATGGTGCAGCAGGTCCTTCAGCGCTTCGGCTTCCAGTTCTCCTCACCACAGGCCACACCTCTGGCTACCAGCCACTCGCTCTCAGCTCCACCTTCGGACGAGTCCGTAGAGCCGAGTGGCCCGTACCCAGAGCTTGTAGGCTGCCTCATGTACCTGATGACTTGCACGCGACCTGACCTCGCGTACCCTCTTAGCATCCTTGCTCGTTACGTTGCGCCTGGGAGACACAGGCGAGAGCACTGGGAGGCTGCTAAGAGGGTGCTGCGTTACTTGTGCAGTACATCAGGCATGGGGCTGGTGCTTGGAGGACGCGACAGAGTTGTCCTCACTGGTCACTCGGACGCTTCTTGGGTGGACGACCTGGCTACGCAGCGGTCGTCACAGGGTTACACCTTCAGCCTTGGCTCTGGTTCTGTCTCGTGGCGGTCCACCCGCTCTTCCTCTGTTCTCGGCTCTAGTTGTGAGGCTGAGATCTACGCCACAGCCATGGCTGCACAGGAGTTACGCTGGCTCACCTACCTGCTGACTGACTTGGGAGAGCGGCCTAGTTCTCCTCCAGTTCTGTACGGTGACAACAAGGCGGCTCTTGCCTTGTGTCAGGAGCACAGACTGGAGCACAGGACGAAGCACATTGCTCTTCGCTACTTTCTTGCTCGAGAGCTTCAGCAGCGCGGTCAGCTTCGGCTTGTGTACGTGGACTCGAAGGCCAACACTGCTGATATCTTCACCAAGGCGCTCCCGCCTAGTGATCATCAGCGGCACTGTACTTCTTTAGGCCTTGTGTCCACGTTTCCTCACTTGCTCACTGCTTGACATTCTTTGTACTGTACTTTATATATATCTTGTTGCTTGCTTGCTAGGTTTTGATCACTGTGTTGCTTGTCTTGTACTATATCTAGCACTGCATGTGAACTGGCCTTGTGGCCTTTACTTGTGCTCGGAGTGTGGTGACGTTGTGATCCACCCTGGGCTTTGCTTTGCTTTGCTGGACTGGTCTTGTGACCCTTTGTTCTCCCCCACTTTGCCTATGGGGGTGTGTTAAACTGTATTATGCTTGTAGGCTGTAGTGGGGTAGCCAATATGGGGTACAACCCCAACTAGGGTTTCATATTTGTACCCAAACTTCTGCTAGTTCATTCATTCTTGGCTAGTTATTCTGATACCATGTCAGAATGAACGGACAGGAATGATTGAACTAACAGTGAAATCAGTACAAGTACCTAACCTTAGAATTGTGTACCCCCTATAGGCTAACCCACTGTAGCCTAAACAAACACAACATATATAATGTTTGACACTCTGAGCGATCAGAGTACACTGTCAGAAAACTCGGAACTCTCGGAGTTAACCTTTAAAAAAGTCTGAAAATTACAGAGTTGAGGCCCTTTAAAGTCTGATTTTATCAGAGTACACAGGAAAAAAAATCTGAAATATCAGAGAAAAAAGTCCAAATCAGAGAAAAAAGTCTGACTTTCGAGGGCCTGAGATGCAGCCACGGTAGTTGTTTTACACCTATAGTAGGCACACTACAACAAACATATTGAAATGCTTTCTATCTTCACCTTTAGTAAGTCATTGATATCGTAGTAAGCAGGCCTCTGGATAGGATTTGGGGTACTCTTCCTCGTAAGGCCAACACCCAGCTGTTACTCTTTCAGTAAGGGTGCTTCACAGGAACTGCTCTTAAAATTCAGGGTGCAAACAAATTTAAAAAAAAGTCAGGTATTTTTGCTGACGATACTACGTAGGGTCTTAGTGTTGCTGCTTGTGTTACCGTTATTATGTGGAGGACCCAAGTTCGATACCTGTCGCGCCCATTTGACGTGGGAAATATGTTTTTACGCGACAATCCTAGTGTCCCCTCTTAGATCGAACTCGATTTCATCAGTGCTACTACACCACATAGCTCTGAAATATCAGTGTCATACAATCGATCACTTTTTTTGGTAAGGGTCGAAAACAAAACCAGTCTTGTGAAAAAGGGTGCATCGTCAAACCCGCCCTTATAGTAAGGGTCATAAGGGTGAATCACCCTGATATCGAGAGGCCAGGTAGTAAGCACCGCCTAAACAAGAAATGCGAGTTTGTAGTTACTGGCACCTTCGGGAGAATGTTGCGTGGAGAAATTAGTGGGTTAGTATCAAATCAAACAATATGGAAATTTGACCTTGGGAGGGTGCCATGGTGCCACTCCTCACATCAAGAGAGGCAAATGAGCAAAACCCCATCCCCACATCTCCTGTTTCCGGCCTCTCACCTTTATTGCCAACCAGACCCAATCAACCCATTCTACAACCCTTCCACCACTTTTCTAGCAACATTCCTCCACAGCAAGCAGCCTAGGACGCTACGACCGCCTCCCTCTCTTTCACTGCCTGCTCAGCCATCTTCTGCTTCCTGCCTCGCCGTAACTAGGCTAGTCAGTCTGCATGTGCACAGTCTGCAGTAGCCATATGGTACCATTGATCACACATCTGCTGTGAGTGCTGCTCTGGCACCGCTGTGTGCACACAACTCGATGTTACGCCACGCCACACCGCGACACATCACGCCACGACACGTCACGCCACGCCATGCCACACCATGTCACACCATGTCACGCCATGCCACACCATGTCACACCATGTCACACCATGTCACACCATCAGATCATCGGATGCGGGGCAGCAGCAGGAATCCATCGAAGCCAGGGTGCCGGCCTGCTGTGCTGCGCACCGACCGCCTTCCTCCACCCGCCCCTCCCTCCACCACCACGCCTCCCCTGCTCCCACCCACTGCACCACCATCTGCACCCTCTCGCCCCACACTCGCACTCTCACTCGCCCTGCCATGCTGCCACGCACCGCCAGCTGTCACACCCTCTGCTGCCACCAGAGTTGCGCTTTCATGCGGCAGAGGGCTCGCCTTCCCCTCTCCTATACGCGTGCCTGGCACAGGACACTCAATCACCCCGACCCTCTCTTGACTACCTTTACATAGGTTATCCTCTGTGCCTTTCCTTCTCTCCTTCTTACCCTCCTTCCCTTTTGGGCAGCCAGCCTTGCCAGCTGAGCTGGCAACCTTGGTTGCCACACTGGCAGACACACCTGCAGAGGGAACAGTGATGCCAACAGAGCGGGCAGCAGTGCCAGCAGCAGCAGCAGCAGCAGCAGCTGCAGCTGCAGGAGTGGGGCCAAGAGCGCAAGCAGCAGGTGCATTGGGAGGAGCAGGAGGGTGTGTGGCAGTGGCAGCGGCAGCAGCAGGTGGCTCGGCCCTTACGAGGGCAGGTGGCTTGGGTCGGTCGCTGCGCCGCTTCTTCAGCACGGGGAAGGAGAGACACGGCTGCTTGAGGGCGGGTTGCTTGAGGGACAACATTGAGAGTGTGGAGACGCGGGCAGCAGTGCTACCGGCGGTGGCAGCCGTCTTGGCTGGGCGGGATACCTGTGATGTGTCTCCACGGCTCGCCGGTGCATCATCTTGAGGGGCGGCTGCTGTTGCTCCTATACTTGCTGCTGATGTTGGTGACGCTGCTGCCGATTCTGCTGCTGCGGCTACCTCAACGGATGCCGGCACAACAGCATGAGGTGATGCTGCTGCTGCTGCTAATTCTGCTGCCTCGCTGCGCTGCAGCCTGCCAGGGCTCCCCCCACTGCCAGCACAGCCATCCCCATCACCGTCGCTGCTGTCCCCCACTCTCACCTCACCGCCTTCCCCACCACTCCCCTCCCCTCCCCCTCGCCTCCTCTTCCTTGCAGACCTGCTCCTCTTCCCACTCACTCTCACGCCTGCCTCTCCCTCGTTCCCTGGGGCAGCCGGGCAGGCAGGTGGCGATGCCAGGGGTGCAAGCAGAGGAGCAGCAGCGGAGGTGGTAGGGGTGTCACGGAAAGCAGGGGAGAGAGGTTGAGAGTGCATGCGGGCTGCATCGGTGGGTTGGGGATAGGAGGAGCAGGCAGGCAGTGACGGTGCGGCGATGCAGGAAGCCGGGGCAGGCTGGCATGGTACAGCAGAGCCAGGGGGGATGGCTGCAGGACACACGGGCATGGCGTTGCACGGAACGGCTGCCTGCAGGGCGCGAGGGCTTCTCTTGCCCTTGGTGGCTGCTGCAGCCGTGGCACCACTGGCTCTGCCTGCAGCGCTGGCAGTAGTGGCGGTACCGCTGGCTGCTACAAAATTAGTGGCACCGAATGTACCACTGGGAGCGACACTCACACTCGCTCCACCTGCATCTGCTGCACGTCCCACGGCCACTGCTCCTGCTCTTGCCCCGCGCGCTGCCTTTCCTTCCCCTGCTGCCGCCAGCTTCCGCTTGCCACTGCGAGAGCCCTTGAGCCCCGAGCCCTTGAGCCCCGAGCCCTTCATACCGCAGGCAGCAGCTGTGGTGACGGTGGCCCCACCTGCCGGGGCGTCTGCGCTGCCCGGCGGCGCTGCAGCTTCCGCTCCAGCCGGAGAAGGAGAGGGTGCGGTAAGCAGTGGAGCAGTGGAAGGAGCAGGCGCAGGTGTGGGCGCAGGAGACGAGTGAGTGGCAGGAGGGGCAGTGGCAGCGGCGTCTGCCTTGAGGCGCGATGCCAGTCGCGCCACGGCACGGCGCACACTCTGATGGTGGCGTGGGGTGGGGGGGAGAGGAGGGACATGGAAGGGATGAGTAAGGAGTGGGACAAGATGAGGAAGACAGGGAAGGGACGGGGAGGGAAATGGACGAACAGGATGGGTCAGCATGTTGGTCAGCACCAATGGGTGAGCAGCAGGGCGGTGACATGACAATGACAGCAGGTTGGCTGCCCACCTTGATCTCTGGGCGCAGGTCCACAGGCAGGGCAGTGGCCTGGCTGATGAGCGCGCGCAGATGTGACAGGCGCTGGGCGGCCTGGCGATCAGATGCCTGTGACTGAGACGTGTGTGCCTTGGAGAAGCGAGCCAGCCACTCAGAAGCTGCCACGTGTTGCCTTGTGGCTTCTTGGAGGATGGCATCCGCTGCGCCCACTGTGTGCGAGCCCTGCAGGGCGGGGAGGAGGGGGTTGAAGGAGGAGATTGAGATGGAAGGTGGGACAGAAGAAGGCCTGTTTACAGTAAGAGTATGGAAGAGAGAAGAGAGCAAAGAGGAGATGAGAGAGGTGGGATTGAAGACACAGAAAGCTGCTGGATTCACCGAAAAGCAATGTTTTATGTTTGAGCGGTCTCACCGTCTGCACTAGCTGTGCCAGGGTGGACGGCCGGGGTCGTGGGCAGCCAATGAGAGCGTTACACGTGGCAGCCCTCCAGCAGTGGGCGGCCACTGCCCTCTGCACCGATGCCAGCGTGCTGCCCGCCTCAACAGAGCAGCCTGTCCCTGCCTCCTCCGCTACCACTGTCACTGCCGCTGGCACTGTGGGCACTGCCGCCCCTCCTCCACCATCCTTGCCGCTCTGCCTTGCCAACTGCCGCACCTCCTCTTGCCCTCCAGCCGCTACTCCAACAGTCATCGCCCCTGCAGCGGCAGCGGCAGCAGTACCAGTGACCTGCTTTACAAGGCCCCCTTGCACCTGCACCTGCACCTGCATCTGCTGCTGCGGCATGCGTGTGGGTGGTGAGAGAAGTGCATTCACGTGCAGCAGCCACGAGGCAAGAGGCCCTGCTGCTTGCTTTGCTGCCTGCGTTGCAGCCTGTTGTGCAACTGGAAGTGGTGGCGCTGGTGTGGCAGCACGGGCAGGCAAGGTGGAGGAGAGCGATGGCGGAGAGGCAAGGGGCATGTGGAGCGGAAGACAAGAGGCCACCTGCAGATGGGGGAGAGCACGAGGGAAAAGCGTGTGCAGCAGGGGCAGGATGAGCAGGCATGGCGAGGGCAGTGAGATTGAGAGGGGCAGAGAAGGCCTCATAGCTGAGATGATATCAACGCTCAGGTGAGCGCCAGGAGATCAAAGCCTGCTTGAAGCACACAAATGAAATCCTATCTGAGACGAGGGGTTAAACTTAATAACCACCTGAAATAATGCTGAAAATTCACCTGAAGCAGACAGCTGAGTATGGAGGGAGGCACGGGTTCGGCATGACGTGGCAAGGACAGGGTGGTGGAGAGTGCTGATGTCAGCAAGTGACAGCAGCGCGTTGCTGATTGGACGAGCAGCTCCAAGCTGTGCACGGCTGCGATCCTGGTGGGGGCGAGCAGAGAGAGCAGGCGAGCAACGGGGGACATGTCGAACGATACGATGCAACAGGCAGGCTGGCTGACACGTGCATCGTGGCGCGAGTGGAGAGATAATGGGATTCAGCATGGGCAAAGAGAGTCCATGCATGTCAATTGGGGGTGCAAGCAATGCGTGAGGTGGTGGAGGCATGTGCATGCCTGTGTCGCACGACGTGCCTGGCAGGTGTGGCAATGCACGTGTTGCCGGCCGTGGCCGACCGTGTGCAAGCATGTGTATGCGTGTGCACGAGCCAGCGCGGTACCTGGGGTGCAGAGAGACAGCGCGTGAGAGGAGGTCCTCCAAGCACCGCAGCGACACACGGGGCACGCGGTGAGGCTGCACGGCAGGAGGGGGTCGGGGATGGGTGAGTGGGAGCAGTAAGGAAGCAGCATGGAGTAAAACGATTTGGCATGGTGCGGGGTGCAATGATGCTGCTGTGGTGGCAGTGAGCAGGAGCAGTGGGGCGGCGGGACGTACATGGAACAACGCTGAGACGGCTGGTGTGACGGCCGCTGCGGCAAGGGAGGAGCAGAAGGGGCATGTGAAGGGACCCTGCTGCTGCTGCAGCAGCAACAGCTGCTGTTGCTCAGGGCTCGGCTTGTGCTGTTGCTGCTGCTGCAGCTGTGGGAGTGTGGGTGAGTGTGCACCTGGTGGAGCTGCCCCCACACCAGCGCCCACCCCATCACTCTGCTCTGCCAGTGCCTGCTGTTGCCCACCCGCCTCTCGCTTACCCCCCTTCTGCTCCAACAGCTGTTGCTGCTGCTGCTGTGTCTGGTGCTCTTGAGAGGCGGAGGCAGCAGCGTCATCCAAGTACGCGAGACAGTCGGTGTGGAATCTGCGAGCGTGCAGAGAAGAGTGAGGCAGAAAGGAAGAGAGGGGGGGGGGTGTGGGAAGCCACATGCAACGGTGGAACGGGATGGGAAGTGGAGCACGCTTGCGATGAAGGAAGGGAGGAGCGACAACGGAGGTGTGTGCGGTCATGGTGAGTACATTGGTGTGTTGCCAGTGCATGCACCCCAAAGGACAAGTAGGTTGGCGGGCAACAGTGGAGCAAGGAAGGCAGGAGTATGCCTCATGATAGGATGCACACACCTCATGCTGCACATACCTCATGGTGCACCCATCACAGATGAGAGCATGTGCATCCTTCATGTGTCCGCCCTTCGTCCCACGTCCATTCACCAGCCGCGCCTCTCCCTTGCTCCCCTCCCATTTCTCGTCGGCCCACTCCAACACACCTCTCGTACCCCCTACCCTCTCTCCTCTCGCCTCTTCTGCCTTCTCTTCCCTCCTCTCCCCTGTCATCCCCACACCGCCACCACCACTCTCCCGCCCCAACGCACCACCACCATCGCCCTCCCGCCCCACAACAGCAGCAGCAGCTCTCCTCCCACCACTGCGCTTCCCACGAACTCGCACCTCCCCGCCTCCTCCTCCCGCCTGCCCGTCCCTGTTGCCAGAGGAACCAGCAGAAGCAGCAGAGGCAGGCTGGGCGCGGTGCAGCAGCGCACACCAGCACACGGCGTCCCACGAGGAGACACTTCCAGCAGCGCCCACGCCTGGTGCCTCAGGTGACTCTGATACTCCTGCTAACCCTCGCCCTGCTGCTGCTACTGCCGCTGCCACACCTGATGTTGCTGCATGAGCTGGTGCTGTGGCTGTCGGCAATGGTGTGGCTGCGGGTGACGCGGCAGCACGCACTGCACTGCCCGCTGCCCGCACTGGTGGGGGAGGAGTGTTGGCAGACGCTGAGGGGGGTTGAGCGGGCTGTGCTGCCACGGGCAGCACCGTGAGGTGAGAGAGGGTGGCGGTGCGGCGGGCCAGGGAGGAGATGCGATGCAGCGCTGCCTGCACGCTGCTGTGCATCTGCTTCAGCTTCCGCTCCACCTCCTCCTCACACACCCGCCCCTTGCCCTCCCCCTGTGGTCCCTTGCCCTCCCCCTGTGCCATTCTTCCTTCCCCTTGTGCCCCTTTGCCTACCCCTCTCGGCCCCTCGCCCTCTTCAGTGGCCCCCTGCAGCGCGGCACAGCAGGCAGCGAGCCAGTCGTCCAGCGCTGCCACTGCGCACTGCACCTGCTGGGCCTCCCCGCTCGCCACCACACTGCTGCCGCCCCGCACCTGCCGTGGGAACAGGGGGATGATGGGGGAGAGAAGGAGCGGGTGCAATGATTGGGGCAGTGTTGGTGAGGGGAGGTTGTAGCTGGCACTTGGAAGGATTGAGGCAAGAGGATTGGATGGAGGAGGGAGAGACGCGATGAGCCGGGGTGGGGTGGTAGTGAGGAATGGCATGTTGGAGGAGGAAGGGAGGGAAGCAGGGTAAGAAACGCACGATTGCACATTGCAGGAGGACGAGACGGAAGCACACAAGGAACGACACATGAGCTGTCATGCATCTTCAGAGATATGGCTCTTGTGTGGCATACCTGAACGTCCTTGAGGTGCGCAAGTGTCGTGACAGGTGCACGAGGCAGCAGCGGCGGTGAGGAGGGCGCAGGGAGGCATGGGGAGAGCAGTCGCTGCACCTCGCTGGCCCACTCCCTGGTAGGTGGGGGACATGCGTGGAGGGAGGTGGGCGCAAGGGGGTGTGTGTTTGCACTAGGAGTGGAAGGCACAACAGTGAACGCATCAGCGGGCAGCATCACAGGGACTGAGGCCACAGGAAGAAACAGCGGTGGCCACTCCCTGAACCCCAACATTGCAGCACGAGAGGAGCGTGGGATGGGCGCTGACCTGTGGGAGGCGATGACGGTGCTGAGCTGGTGGCACTTGTCGCGCACACACACCTGCAGGGCCTGCACACAGAGCAAGGCAGATTGCCGTAGAGGGGAAGGGGGGCCAAAGAGCGGCAACAGACGGGAGGGCACACAGGTGGGCCCAGTGGCTACAACAGCTGCAGCAGAGGTGCCTCCAGCTGTTGCTAGTTCACACGGATGGATGGTACAAGGCCCAAGGGCACTGTACTCAAATCAAAGGGACTAGCGTACTACAGACAGACACTGCACATGCACATAACTTATTCAGCCCAGCACCCAGCCCACCATCCCCTCGCCTCTCTTCACCCCTCGCCCCGCTCCCTCCCTTCATCTCTCTCACCGTGCCACGTGCCAGCATTGCCTCCACCTCCTGCACCTCACAGCTGGATCACAGGGCCACGTGTCAGCATCTCATTGGCCGCCTGCACCCACTGCCGAGCGTCCACCAGAGCGGAGCGCAGCAGGGAGAGGCGCGCCGAGGGGGGCAGAGAGGGAGCAGACGCAGCAGGCTGAGCAAGGCCCTCGGATGGAGCTGCTGGTGGTAGTGGTGGTGCTGATGGCGTTGGGTGGGGTGGAGGGTGGGCGGGCGCATCAGGGAGTGGGTAAGCCGCCACCAGTGCCTCCATCTCCTCCATCCTGGGCTTGCCTCGCCTCTCACCACCACCCTGCACCGCACTGTCCTGCGCCACACCACCACTCTCCACCGCATCATCTGCTGTGGCAGAGAGCATGTCATGAGCGGCGACCTCCCAGTGCAGGCGCTGCAGCAGCGCGCGCACAGCAGGGAGGTAGGGCAGCGCCACGCCCAGCGCCGCGCCTTGGGTGAGCAGCGAGGAGAGCTGGTCCACGCTGGCGCTTGCTGCTGCTGCCGGCACTACCCAGGGGGCCTCGCCGGCACTGGCTGCAACTGATGATGATGACGGCGCTACTTGTACCGCAGGGGGCTTGCCTGCAGGCGATGGTGTTACTGATGCGACCAGAGGGGAACTTGAGTCAACCAGGATGGTGCATGATTCGGGGGTGATGGGCACTGCAGCTGGGCTGGCTTGGGTGGGTGGTGCTGTGGTTACTGTGGGCGGTGTGTCAGTGGTGGGCGGTGAGAGCAAGCAGGTGGCAGTGTGGAGGGTGTGGGAGGCAGCGAATCGCCAGGAGGTGAGCGAGGAGAGCAGCGCGGCGAGTTGAGCTGCCTGTGGTGGACGCACAGGCAGTGCTGTGAGGGCCACGTGCATGTCCTGGTGTGATTGGGGTAGGGGGAGGCAGGGAGGAGGGACGGGGAAAGGAGAGACGGAGAGGAGAGGGACGTGAGGAGAAGGAATTAGCTGGGTGGAGAGAGGCAGAGATGGGGAAGAAAAGGGAGGGAGAAAGAGGAGGGGGAGGGTTAGACCAGGCGGACTAGAGTGAGTAGGGTTGCACTTGTCATAGCACCAAATGTAGGAGCACGGCGCCATGCAGTGCGCAGGGCAGCAGGCGGAAGAAGATTTCTTGAGGAGGATGCATACGCCTCAACTTACCGGATTGTCCCACCACCCTCCTAGCCCACCACGCTGCTTCACCACACTGCCTAACCACCCTCCCCCACCACACTGCCCCCTAATGCTGCCCCACGCTACCCACCCACATACCATGATCTCTCCCACTGTCACTCGGGCATCCGCGCCCTCCTGCACGCCCCCTCCCTCGCCCTCTTCTCGCCCTCTCCTCCTCCGCTTCCACCTCCCTCCACTGCCTCTCTCCTTCCCTCCAGGGGTGGCAACACCAGCACCAGCACCAGCAGTAGCAGCAGCAGTGACGGCAGCAGCAGAGCGGCGCACAGTCAGAAGCAGCTGGTCAGCGCGAGCTGCTGCTGCTCTTGCTGACGCCAGCGCTGACATCAGCTGAGCATGGCCTGCCAGCGATGCTGAGATGGCCTCCGCCTCCCTGTGGGGCCGAAGGAGGTTTGGGGGGGGCGGGGAGGAGGCAGCGGGGGCGGGGAAGGCAAAAGGGGAGAAAGGGGGGAAACAGCGGGAAAAGAAACATTTGCGTGAAGGATGGGTGGGCGGGACAGGTACGTAGCTAGCTGTCTCACACGAAGGGGGGATATGGAAGCATGGAATGGGATGCGAGGCGCCTTCATGTGGGCGAGTGCGCAGTGGACTGAAAATATCGCCAACATGATTGCACTGCACTGCACCACTACCTTTTTTACAACAGCTCATCTTCCCTACGTGTATCACTCACCCTCGCCACGCCGCGCCCCCCCCTCTCACCTGCCCATCGCCTCGCCCTCCTCCAGGCTGCAACCCTCCTGCAGCGCCCTCTGCGCCCTCGCCTGCCAATCACTGCCCGCCTCTACCACTGCTTGCACGCGCGCCACCACTGCACTGCCCGTGGGGAGCCTGGGGGTGTGATGTGCGTGCAAGGGGCGGGACGGATGCAGGGGTGGGACGGGTGGGACGGGTCAAGCAGTTGAAGAGGTGGGAGAGGTAGGGGGAGAGTAAGAGGCATGGTGGAAGCATTTAGGGTGAGTGCATGAACTTCCATGACAGGCCCAGCCCGTTAGCACGCACACCACACCAGGGAGCGCCGAAAGCGGGTTCGCTAGAACGGCACACGCCCCACGTGGCACGGACGGGTGTTCCGCCCCCCACACCTCCCTTCACCCACCTCTCTCTCCCTCACCTCTCCCTCCCTCACCTCTCCCTCCCTCACCTCTCCCTCCCTCGCCTCTCCCTCCCTCACCTCTCCCTCCCTCACCTCTTCCTCCCTCACTCTCCTGCTCACCTCTTCCTCCCTCACTCTCCTGCTCACCTCTTCCTCCCTCACTCTCCTGCTCACCTCTTCCTCCCTCACTCTCCTGCTCTCGCCTAACCTCCTATCTCTCACGCTCCTCCCTCCCGCACTTGCTCACCTCTTCCCCTCTGCCTGCAGCGCCACTCACCTCTCCCCCTGCGTGTGCAGCGCCAGCAGCTCGTCCAGTGAGGCGCGGTGCATGAGCGCCCCCTCTGCCGCCTCCTCCCACTGCACTCGCTGCAGCTGCTGCTGCACCGCCTCCATCTCGCCCACTGCCGGCGCACACAGGAGGGTGGATGGAGGGGTGCAGAGGGGAGGAGCAGCGGGAGGCGGTGATGGAAGATGAAAGCAATGATGGTAATGCGACAATGAAGGTGTGATGCTCATGCTCATGCTCATGCTCATGCTCATCCTCATGCCCATGCTCATGCTCATGCTCATGCTCATGCTCATGCTCATACCCATGCCCATGCCCATGCCCATGCCCATGCCCATGCCCATGCTCATGCTGTTGACGCTCAAAGTCCCTCTCCACGGCATTCACACGCCCCCCGACCACCCCACACTCCACCAGCTCCCCCCTCCCCCTACTCACGAGTGACATGCATGCGAGAGCCCGCCTCCACCAGCGCTGCCAGCTCCTCCTTCCACCCTCTCTGCCTGCCCCACGCCACTGTCACACTGCCGGGTGGTTTGGGGGGCGGTTGGATAGCGGTGGGTGTGACAGTGGCGGGTGTGGCAGTGGCAGGAGGTGATGTGTCGAGCGGAGTAGCTTGGGTAGTGGGAGTGCAAGGGACAGCAGGAGGGGCAGCGGCGGCAGTGGCAATGGCATCAGCAGTGGCAGGAGGCGTGTGGATGGGTGCAGAGCGGTCCGAAGCCGGAGAACAGTCAGCGGCGGTGGGAGGAGGTGTTGCTGGAGAGCAGCAGCAGCAGCAGCAGCAGTGGTGCGAGCAACAGGCAGGGGGGTGGCAGGAGGAGCAGCAGCAGCAGCAGCAGCAGCGCCAGCAGCAGGAGACGGGCTGAGTGGGGAAGGGCCGGCAGGCCCATGCTTGCTGCTTGCCACACTCGCTGCTCCTGACACTGACCCATGCCCCTGCCCCTCCTCTTCACCCTGCCCCTCCCCCCGCCCCTGTTTGACTCCCTGCTTGCCTCCCCGGCCATCCTTCTCCCTCCCCCCATCCTGTCCCCCCATCGCAGCCAGCAGCGCGCGAGCCCTCTCCCCCCAGCGCCGTGCCTCGTCCCGCCGGGCCTGCAGCTGCGCCACCGCTGGCACGCGCACTGCCACCCCCTTTGCCTCCTGCAACAGCGCTTCCATGTCCTGAGGTGGGACCGGGGGGGGTTGGTGGGAGACGCGGAGGACGGGGGGGAGGGGGAGAGGGTGGGGGTTGAACAGGTTGAGAACGGGAGAAAGGAAGAGGGGCTTTTGAGTCCACTCAGAAGTCGCCTCGCTGGCCGCCGCGCCCCACGCCCCTCGCCTGCTGCAACACCGCCTCCATGTCCTGGGGGGAGGCGGAGCAGTGGATGGGAGACGCGGAAAAGAGGAGGGATTGGGTGGGGTGGAGGGGTTGAGAACGGGAGAAAGACACAGCAGCTTTTGAGACAACACACAAGTCACCTTGCTGGCGTCCGCACCGCCACCCCCCTCGCCTCCTGCAGCAGTGCTTCCATGGCCTGAGAGAGGAAGGATGGGGGGACGGGGATTGGAGACGCAGGGGGGGGGGCGCAGGGTGAGAATGGGGAATGAGACACAGGGAGGGAGGCGAGGAAGGGGGAAGGAGGTTTGGGCAATGAGGCGAGCGGGAGAGATGCAAGGAGAAGCAGCGCTGACTGGCGGAACAAAAGGCACGAAAGCAGGACAGGTTGCTGGGAACTAGAGAGCAGCGGGGTGGACATGGCAGTGTGGGGGGGTGGCAGCGAGGTGGGGGGGTGACAGCGAGGTGGGGGGGTGACAGCCCCTGGAGAGGGGCAGCCCCTAGGGGGGGCAGCCCCTAGGGGGGGCAGCCCCTAGGGGGGGCAGCACCCGAGGGAGCAGCACAGCAGCTGGGGAGGCAGCACCTGGAGGGTGGGCGAGGAGTGCAGCAGCGCATGAGCCTGAGCGTCCATGTGCCTGGCAGCGCGCAGCAGCGCCGCCACCACCTCGTGCTCCGCCACTCGCACCCTCAGGCGCTCGCCCTGAAGGGAGGGAGGACCACACACCGCGGCGTGGCATGCAGCGGAGTAGAGATGAGGGGGAGAAACCAGGCAGAAGAATAAAGCGTGACGGGCAGGGGGGAAGGCGACACTTGAGAGACAGGTGGAGGAGGGTCAAGCGTACTGCACACTTTTGAGCGCACGACATGCACAGAAGCATAGCAAGCAGCAGCGATGGGCCGATGGGCAAGGCAGCACCTGCGAGTGCAGCATGGCGAGCGAGTGCAGGTCGGGCAGAGGGATGTGAGGCGCTGCTCGAGGTGGCTTCCCCCGCGGCACCGTTCTCTGCACCGCCTCCACCCAGTGCTGGTGGGACGGGTGCAACAAGGGAACGAGGGGAAAGCGGAGAGGGCATCAGGCAGAGGGGGAGGAGGGGCGAGGGGAAAGACCAAGGCAGCCAGAATAAGTCGCAATAGCAGTGGATAGGCCTGTCGATAGATTCATAGTGGGGTGATTTAGACGTGTGCTGTGATGGCAGTTTCAAAAAGGTGAGAAGTGGAAGAATACGAGAAGCCGTCACAAGTACTGGTCATGGTCATCTGTCCAGTGTGCTATTCCCCTCATCTACTTTAAATCTCTAGTGTAAGTACCACCCATTGGCACGAGTATACCTGAGCGGCGAGGAGAGCGTCTTTGAGGTTGGCGGCAGCAGGGATGTCCACCGTGCCCGCTGCCGCCTCTGCTTGCAGTGCCTGTAGCTCCTTCGCCTGATGGGGGTTGTGGAGCATGCAGCCAGGTGAAGCGCGGGTGCTGTATGGACTGTGCATGCATGGTGCACGGGGGGGTGAGACGACTGTGCGATCAGATGATGCAGCATGCGGGCAGGGCACAGTGAGCTGCACAGAAGAGCGGCGCAAGCAAGAGTAGCCGGAGCGGAGAGCAAGGTAAGAACGTAAGAGGATAGTGCCTGAGTGCCAGTGAAATCCACGCCACTCCACAGCACAGCAGGGAGGCGCACCTCGAGTGGCGGCTTGGCGTGCAGGGCGAGGCGAATGCGCTGGTCCAGTGCGAGAGCGTCACGATACAGCACCTGGGAGTGGGGTTGGAGGTGGGGATGGGGGTGGGGGTGGGGGTGGGGGTGGGGGTGGGGGTGGGGGAGCGAGGCATGGCGGACTATCACGGGCAACAGGGCTAGGCGAATGCGCTGGTCCAGGGCGAGGGCATCGCGGTACAGGACCTGGGGGTGGGGGCGGTGGGGCAGAGGGACAGATGTGGGCGTCAGGGGAAGGAGCAGTCAATGCAATGCAGCAGATTCGGCAGCTGCAGGAAACCACCACCGTCACGTCACCAATGACCTTGCTCCGACCTGACAATACCACGCCCCTCAGTGACTGCACCGCTGAGCACCCATGCACACACCTTGAGCGTCTTATAGTGCGGCTCAATGCAGGGCACATCAGAGGCAGCGGCCTCCAGCAGCCTCTGCACCTCGCACAGCCCCCTCCTCCTCCCGCCCCCACCGCTGCTGCCCGCCCCTCGTGCTGGCTGGCTTGGGCCGGCAGCAGCAGGTGAAGAGGAGGGCAGCAGCGACAGCAGCGGGTGGTTGGAGGAGCAGGCAACGAGAGGTGGCGCGGCAGCAGCAGCGGGCAGCGAGTGACCGCAGCAGGCAGCCACCTCATGCGCCCATGCGAGCGCTGCCAGCGCCTTGTCGTGCACTCGCCGTGCCTGAGGGAGGGGGCAAGAACGGGGGCGGGAGGAGGAAGGGGGATTGGAAGTTGAGGTGGCGACCTGGACGAGAGGGGTTTAGCGAAGAAGAGAGTGTGGAACGGGGAAGCAGACACGATGAGCAGGAGTGCAGGCAAGCAGTGGGGAGGGCATGAATGGGCAGGCAACGTGCAGTGGCTGAGAGGCGCAGCAGCACAGGCCAGTCAGTAAAGCAGCAGCGCAAAGCCACTCACCGCATCCACCTCGTGGCCCGCCCACAGGAACTCCTGTGCCTGCTGCACCAGCGCAGCTGCTGCCTCCACCGTGGGCGGCGAGCGCAGAGCCACCTTGCCACGCGACGCCCACTGCGCCGCCCACTCGCTGTGTGTCATCATGCGCCCCCGCACCCGCCGCTGCTGCGCCACCCACCCTCCGCCACTGCCCGCCCGACACCTCTCCAGAAACTCCTCTGCCTGCACCATCTGCCCCCCGTGCCCCCCACCCCTGCTCCCCCCTACAGCCCTGCCCCGCATCCACTCCGCCATCTCTGCCTCTGCACCCCTGAACCCCTCTGCTGTTCCTCTACCTGCCTGCCTCTTCTCGCCCCCTCCCACTCTCTGCATGCCAGCAGCATAGCTGCTCTGCTCCTCCTTCACACTCTCCCCACCTTCTTCTGCACCTGCTGCTGCCGCTTCTGCAGCAGCAGCAGCGGCGGCAGCAGCAGCAGCAGCGGTGGCTAGGCGGCTGCTTCGTCGCACACCACTGCTCTCTCCCTCGCACTGCCCTGTTTCCCCTTCTCCCTCTCCGCCTCCCTCCACTCCTTTTCCGTCCCTCCCTTCTGCTTCTCCTCCCGGTTCCTTGCACACCAATTCCCCCACGCCCCCCTTGCGTGCTGCCTCCACCACACCATCACTAACGCTGCCACCCTCCACCTCTTCTTGCTTCACAATCACACCAACGCGCCTCTTGACACCCCCCTCCACGCCCCCCTCCACCTGCCCCTCACGCATGCCCGCTTCACCAGAAGAAGGCTGTGCTGATTGGTGCACGGCAGCAGATGCCCGGGTGTTACGGCATGGCATGGCGGCAGCAAGGTCAGCACCACTACCAGCAACACCACCATCGCCATTCGCCTCACCACCACCACTGCCCTTGCCTTGCACGGAATCCTCACCCTCACCCCCAACCCCAACCCCTCCCCCTGCTCCCCTCGCTTCCTTCTTCACACCCTTCCCCCCACCGTACCCCCCGGCGAGCACCTTCACGCCGATGCTTGTGAGCCCACAAACGGGAGGGCTGCTCACAGCAGCAGTGCTGGCGCGGCGAGAGTACGTGATGGGCGCACACGGGGCGCTGCTGCTCGCAAGTTCCCCGCCCACATGCCCGCTCGCATGTTCCCCTGCTTGCCTGCCACTGCAGCTGCTGCTGCTGCCTGCCGCTGCTGCCCTGCTACTCTCGGCCTTCACCACCACCTCCTCCACTGCTGCTTTCCCCCGTCCATCGCCCACACCCCCCTCCCCTCCACTCCCCTCCCGCCCCTCGCTCCGCCCCTCTCCACTACTCTCGCTCCCCCCGTCGCCACTCCCTGCCCGCCCCTGGCCTGGCCCCTTACGGCGGCCATCCCCTGCAGCAGCCAGCAGGTCTTCAAGCTCCGCCAGGGAGAGGCGGTACAGCAGCGTGCGGCGGGCAGGCGGGCAGTCGCACAGCTGACACGCGTGCTGCCATGCGGTAGGGGAGGAGGGGTGAGGGGGACAGGGGGATAGGGGGCATGGGGAGAGGGGGAGAGTGGGAAAGCCGAAAGGGGGGATGAGGAGAAGGAGGGGTTGAGGCAAGTGAGAAGTGAAGGGCATTTGCACAGTGGAAAATGAAGGACGATGATTGCATAGGAGGCAGCACAGGTAACACAGCAGCAGCACTCACCTGCAGGCACACGGCATCACTCACCTGCAGGCACACGGCATCACTCACCTGCAGGCACACGGCATCACTCACCTGCAGGCACACGGCATCACTCACCTGCAGGCACACGGCATCACTCACCTGCAGGCACACGGCATCACTCACCTGCAGGCACACGGCATCACTCACCTGCAGGCACACGGCATCACTCACCTGCAGGCACACGGCAGCACTCACCTGCAGGCACACGGCAGCACTCACCTGCAGGCACACGGCAGCACTCACCTGCAGGCACACGGCAGCACTCACCTGCAGGCACACGGCAGCACTCACCTGCAGGCAAACGGCAGCACTCACCTGCAGGCACACGGCAGCACTCACCTGCAGGCACACGGCATCACTCACCTGCAGGCACACGGCAGCACTCACCTGCAGGCACACGGCAGCACTCACCTGCAGGCACACGGCAGCACTCACCTGCAGGCACACGGCATCACTCACCTGCAGGCACACGGCATCACTCACCTGCAGGCACACGGCATCACTCACCTGCAGGCACACGGCAGCACTCACCTGCAGGCACACGGCAGCACTCACCTGCAGGCACACGGCATCACTCACCTGCAGGCACACGGCATCACTCACCTGCAGGCACACGGCAGCACTCACCTGCAGGCACACGGCATCACTCACCTGCAGGCACACGGCAGCACTCACCTGCAGGCACACGGCATCGCGCGGGCGGCAGGGGCAGACGACAGCGGAGAGGAAGAGGTAGTAGCGGCAGATGAGGCACTCCCTGTCCTGCTGAGAGGGGCAGGGCCGTGCGCAGGGTGCGGGCAGAGAGGAGGAGGGCGACAGGCAGGGGGATGGGGCAAGAGAGGAAGCAGAAAAAAAAAACGGAGACCAGTGCTTTCCAAAGGCATGAGCAGTACCTCTGAGGAGCCATGAAAAGTACATCTCAGAGACATGAACAGTGCCTTTCAGGAGCCATGAACAGTACCTCTCAGATACATGAACAGTACCACTTGGGAGCCATGAACAGTATCTCTCAAAGCCATGAACAGTACCTCTCGGGGGCCATGAACAGTACCTTTCAGGAGCCATGAACAGGACCTCTCAGATGAGGGTGAGCAATTGGCGAACACGAACGTGTTCATCTTCGGCCCTACACGAAGACAGCCGTTCGCCGAACCGAACACTGTTCGGTTCTGCGAACACTTTAAGCAAAAACAGATGTTCGGATTTCGCCTGTGAAGGCGTGTTCAGACGAACCTCAAACACGTTCGTGTTCGACGCGGGGGAAATTGCAGCAGCGGCCCGAACACGAACGTGTTCGGGCGAACCTCGAACACGTTTGTCACGAACACTTTAAGCTACAAAAACAAACAGGTGTTCGCTTCTTTGCTCAACCCTACTCTCAGAAGCCATGAACAGTACCTCTCAGGAGCCATGAACAGTACCTCTCAGGAGCCATGAACAGTACCTCCCAGGAGCCATGAACAGTACCTCCTCGTCTGTGATGGCATCGGGGCGCGCATGGGGCGCCATGCGTGCGCTCCTCACTGTGCCCTGCGCCCACACTGCATCCCTCGCCCGCCTCTCCCCCTCCACCACCCTCCGCACCTCCACCCCCGCCACCTGCCTCTCCCCCGCCAGCAGCCCCCGCTGCTGGTTCTGGTAGCAGCGAGACGGAGGGGCGGGGAGGGAAGGGGAGGGGAAAGGAATGAAAGGAGATGAGAGCTGAGAAGGGGACGGGAGAAGAGGTGAGAAGGCAAGGAGAAGTGAGGAATGGTGAGGAGAGGTGAGGAGAGATGAAGAAAGGGGATGTGGGGAGCAGAGGGGAGTGAAGGAACAAGAGAACCAAATGACATGCATGTAATGTGTCTCACCATGAGCAGCACACACAGCATCTCCTCATGAGAGAGGATGGACTTGCGGCGGAACAGCCGGTAGCGCTCCACACTGAGCCCGCCCCACGGCAGCCAGTCGCACGGCGCAAAGTTCACCGCTTCTGCGCAGTTCACCCCTGCGCGCACGGGGAGGAGAGGGGGAGCAGGGTGAGGGGGGTGTGTGTCGCGCCAAGCACTCGACGCTCACCACGTCCGCACCAGAGAGAGAGGGCAGTGAGCGGCGGGGATGAGGGGAGGAGGTTAGGATGGGAGACACAGAGCATATGAGCATCAGCAGCACTCTCAGCATCTGCTGTCAGGGAGGGCAAGGGGGACGTGGGACAGTGGACAGACAGGTGGGGTGTGGCCGCCCGCAGGCCAATCGCAAGCACGGAGGCTAGAAGAATCGCCTCCGGTGCAGCACGGTGGTGGGGGGGGTGTTTGTTCGACCGCACACAAGTGCCACGGGTGAGTGACCAAAGGAGTGATTGTTAAACGAAGGGAGGGGTGTGCCTTGGTCGCACAGAGGGAGGGGAGGCTGAGAAAATGGAACGAGGGGAGGAGGGGCGGACGGGAAGAGGAGAGGAAGGAAGGGAGAGGAAGAGAAGGAACGGGTGGGTAAGGGCAGGGAGAGGCAACCTTGGTTGAAGCCGGCATGGTAGGAGCGCGGGAAGGTGACGACAAACTCGCGGGCGGCCTGCACGGTGCGGAAGATGGGCACAGCCGCTCGCTGCAGCGCCATGGGGTGTAACATGGTTACCAGCTGGAAGAGCAGGTCCGGCTGCGCCTCAAACAGGTCCGGGAAGGCCGCCCGCATGACCTGATGGGCGGGAGGAGGTTGGACGGCGGAAGGAGATTCGGTGGGCGTATGTGAGGAAGCGTGTGTGGGAGATGATAAAGGAAATGATGACAGGGATGGTAACTTGGATGGGAATGGTGATGCGGGTGGCGATGGGATGGTGATGGGGATTGTGAGGATGGCGATATGGACCGGGGGGAAAGGGATGTGGCAGTCCATGGGCACGTGCGAACTGCCCACACCACATGCATTCACACCTCTTCAACAAAAAATCACACTAATGGGTCACATGGGTCGTTGTGCACGGTGCACGGTGCACTGCATGGGATCGCACCTGCTCGAAGGCCTCTGCTGCATGCCCCGGCACTCCGTACCACAGCTTCGGCTCGCCCCTGCCGCCCCCACAGCAGGCCCACACCACCAGCAGGAGAGGCAGCAGACACAAGGAGAGAACGGGGGAAGGGAGGAAAGAGTGGGGAGGAGGGGCACTGGTGAGAAGGGGTGGCTACCAGAAGAGAGTAAACACGGGAAGGAATCGAATGAAGGGAGGGGCAGCCGTACTGCCACACACAGTGGTATGAGCGAGAAGAAGGCAGCATGAGGAGAAGGGAACCAGCGGCTTACCAGTGGAGGTAGTTGATGGAGTAGAAGCAGTGGTCTTCGAAGTGCCAGCAGAAGGCGGACATGGTCATGCCCATGTACAGCCATGGCACGATCACCCCTGGAATCGCGTCCTCCACATACCGCAGCACCGACGCCGCATCCCTCGCGATATTGTTCACATTCCACCGCGCCTCCGCGTACTCCCGCCACCGCGCCTCACTCACACCGCTCTGCACCGCATGCACCGGCACCGCCTCGCCTCTCCTAGGAAACCCGCTGCCGCACGCGCCGGTGTCGATATCGCTGCCATAGAGGGTCTCCACGGGGCCTGCCGCCCCGTCCACTACGCGCCAAAAGGCTTCCTCCAGCTGCGCTGGCGTCATCGCGCCGCCCAGTTTTGCGCCGAAGAGCCGCTCGCGCAGCGCGCGGTCGGCGCGCTGCAGGGCGGCGATGGAGATGCTGCCGCCCGACGTGAAGCCAAAGGTATCGTGCGGGCGGGCCACACAGTCCTGGCAGAACCACGTGCCAGGCGGCACGGTGGAGAGCGGTGGAGAGAGGCAGAAGAGGTGCCAGCCGCGGTCGCAGCGGTCGCACAGCAGCATCTGCTCCTCATGCCCCCCTCCTTTGCACCTCTCACACACCGCATCTGCTGCCGCGTCCTCACTGTCCGAGTCAGAGCCATCACCGCCCTCTAACTCGCCCCCATCGCCTTCCCCCTCCCCCTCCTCCTCCCCTCTTGACTCGCCTTGCCCGTACCTCACGGCCTTAGCTGCGCGCCAACGGCTGCTGAATCTGCCGCCAGCCTCGCCAGCACTCAGCCCACCGCCGCTACCATCACTCCGCTTCTGCGCCTTGCTGCTTCTTTCTCCTTCCGCCTCCTTTTCCTGTCGTTTTCGTTTCCCATCAGCAGCAGGCCCAGTCTCCCCGTGTGCCTCGTTGCGCCCGTCGTCCCCCTGCGCCCTGCCCGCGCCCGCCTCTCTCCACGCCTCCAGCTCGTCCAACCGCCACCGCCGGTACACCACCTTCAGCCCCCCCGCGTCCATGCTCGTCCGCTTCCCCGACCCTTCCCCCTCCGCCCCGCCCGCCCCGCCCGTCCCGCCCTGCAGCACCGACCGCAGCACGTCCCCCCACGCCCTGCTCTCGCTCACCCGCTCAAACCCCCCCCGCCGCTGCACGGCGTGGAACAGCGCGCAGATGTCCACCGCGCCCGCGCGCATGGCTTCCGCCGCCACCACCGCCCTGTCCTCCGCAGAAACCCCCTTTTTCCCCGCTCCCATCCCCGCGCGCGCAAGAGCGCGCTGCAGCGCCGGCGGGTGCGCAAGGCGGAGATCCGCGAGGAAGCGGAGGTAGTCGAGCGCAAAGGTGGCGGGGTCGGCGGGCGCGGGGCGGCGCTGCAGCTGGTGGAGCGCCTGCACCTTGGTGCGGAAGCGGAACTTGGCGCGGTCCAGCGCGAACGGCGGATCCCAGCCGGGCGGGGGGACTATGCGACACATGCCGCACGGCTCTGCGATCGGGCGAACGCGTGCGATGAATCGCAAGGGGTCGGCGAACTCCTTGGGCGACGGGTGGAAGACAGGGCACTCGTGCAGGGAGACAGTGGGAACGCGCGAGGGGCCTGACGGTCGACCCAGGAGCGGCGCTGCCTTGGCGGTGCTAGGCGCTGCGTTGCTACTCGTGGGAGCCTTAAAGCTAGTAGTCGATGCTTTGGTGGTAACCGGTGCTTTGGCGCTAGTCGCCTGCCCACACTGCTTTGGCCCTGCGCCTCCCCCCATCCCTCCTTCCCCTCCCCTTCCCTTACACGGCTGCCTCCCAGCCTTACTCTCTAAGCCCTGTGACCTGCTTCTACCGCTGCTGTCGTTGCTGCGAAAATCCCACTTCCTCGCTACGTCGCGACACCTCGTGCGACGAGTGCCCTGGTCGCACGGTGTGTGCCTGCTCGGATCTGCGCCGTCGCTGCCCGTCGATGGCCCTACTGCAGCTACAGCTTCCCTTTCACTGCCCGCTACAGCTGCCCCTTCCCTGCCTCGTACATCTCTCCTTTCACTGCCGGCTGGATCTGCCCCTTCACTGCCTGCTACAACTGTTCCTTCCCTGCCTGCTTCAGCTATCCCTTCGCTGCCTGCGCCTCGTGTTGCGACTCCTGCTTCTTCGCCCGCATCTACTGTTCCCCCTGTCTCCGTTACACAAACTACTGCTGCTGCGGCGGCGGCGGCGGCGGCGGCGGCGGCGGCGGCTACAGCTGGCAATGCAGCAGAGGTCTTCGTGAATTCGGCTTGGCTTACTCCCGTCCCTCCGCCGCCATCTGACGATCTGTCCGCTCGGACCGATACTGCTTTAGCCATTAGGAGTGAATACGATCAAACCTGGATGACGAACGATGCAAGGATAGATGAAACCCTAGATGGCCGACACTACAGATGCTTGGCCCTATGCCGCTTTGGCTTGGACCTACTATTTCGTTCGAGGGAAGCTCAACGGCTTGGTGGTTTGATCAATTTGCCTTCTCCAACTGTGTCTGTTGCCAGCTCTTCAAATTTGACCTTTCGCGAGCCACTCTGTCGTCTGACGAGGTTCACGATTTCTGTTACAATCTTGTCACGACGGTCGTGAGTCCCGCGCGAAGTGTGCTAGCAGTGGTGGTAATTGCAAGAAAACCATTGTCCTTCAGGAGAGAGGGAGCGTTCATCTGAACTTGGTGAACGCTCCAGTAGCGTTCATCTGAACTGGAGAGTCCAGCGTGAAAGTGGTGCTCTTAAACTTGGAAATTTGCACCCAAATTCGGAGAGCTCTCTGTGTAACAACCCTTTCATTTTCACTAGTCAGGGACTTTCTGCTCGATTGGTTTTCGCTCCGTTCAGGCTCATTCATTTCTGCGACCTTAAAGACCATAAAATCGGTTTCTGTAGTTCGCCAATTGAGCTATTCCTCTCATGTTGTTGGAGGGTGGGTCGTGAAAGTTTCAACAACAGAAAAGGCAAATAGCCCGAAATGAAAACTAGGTCTCGTGTGCGATATTATCGTGGGAAACCCAAAAACGGGCACCTGAGAAGGCCACGTGTACCGACGGACTTTGCTGAGGTGGACAAGGCTGGGAATGGGGGCCACACTAGCCCGAAATGACGGGAACATTCGGAAGGACTGTATATTTGAACAAATCAACCTTGCTAGTTACTGGAAACATCTTGCTTCATAACGGGAACGTCACCTTCCATACCGCGTACAACAACAGCTCATGTGCCCGATGGTCTGCTGTTAACAATTTGAAAAGGGCACCGCATTGTGCCAGTGACTCGTGATTCGTGAACGATTGTGCATCGCGCTCGTGCCTATAATTTCCGTCCCTGCGATTCACACGAGTCAAGCACGGCGAGTGAGATGTGAATGCTCCTTGCAAGCAGTCGCACACATTCTGTTCCACAACTCACTTGAGCCAAACCCAAAACAGGCTCCCGCGGGATCAGATAATTCATTGTCGCCGTGATTCACGGGACCAAACACATATCGCGTTCCTAGCATTAGGGGGTGTCCAGCGCGTACATTTACAGTTCATAAACCCTATCAGTTACCACGTTTAGGGTTGTAACACTGCATTTTACAGAAAGGCTGGAAAGGATCAGCTTTCGTTCATGAGACGGCACGTCCCCTGCACGTACGTCGAGTCGTCTGACTCACGTCACCTGAAACAGCATGCGCGCGAAAAAGGGTACAGCATTGTGTCCTGCGTACTACAGTAATTTTCGCTCAAACGAGAAATTTTCGCTTGCGCAATGATTCCCACGCGAGGATTGACGAGGGGGCTAGTTACCTTGGTTTCCACACATTCGGAAGACTGTAGAAAATTACGTGGCGGGGTTGTGTCCGCGCGCTGGAAGGCACAAGCATTTTGGACTAAGCTCGCCCTGGGTTCGTTTCTAGGTACATTGAGTTTTTCTGATCCGAGAGACGTGTGAGGGCTCTAAGTTTCCCAAAACGTACGCGCTGGATACGCCCTTATTTACGATGGCGCAGCGATTGCGATGCTTGGCTTGCGCTCATAACTCGCTCAATATTTCACCAGTTCATGGCACTGATGTTTTCATCACAAGCTATTCTTTCCATCGTCTTTCATTTCTCACGGAGTACTTCGCTTTAGGATTTCTTTGCACTGAATGGTACTTTTTTCTACCCATAGTGCTTGGTTTTAAAAAAGTACGTCACAACTTTGCAACAGTACGGCAGCCCACTGTTACTGTTGGGCAGCCGCACAGTGCCAACCCACCGGCTAGTGGGAGGCTGCAAACTCCCAAACCACGCAAGGTTGGGATTGGTCAGCCTCCCCTCCCAGCATTTGGGCGCCCACCTGAAGACACGCAGCCCAAACCACACCCTCGCGCGAAAATAACGAAACGCAGAAAAGTCAAGCTCCGACCCCTCGCCGACTTCGCCAACGGTGCCGACGAAATTACAGCCCCGTAACCAAGCTCGCCGTCCAATCCCGCATCGCAATCAATCTCTGAATTTCACGGCAAGGTTCATTTCAAGGGGTAGAGTTACCAATAAGAAATTCAGAGTGTCGCGACTTGGTAGTGCGACTCGATTTGTGAATGCATCCTATAAAATTGTGTGTGAAATTTGTTGAAGTCATAGTGCAATTTCCAGAGAATTCCAGAGAGCACTCTATACTCATTCTCCAAGCCTACTAAGGCTACTATCTCCCTGCCAGCAACGTTTCACTGGTATCAGAGCCTGGTTCGTCACTTCGCACGCTCCCGCAAGATTCTAGACCCTATGGCTGGACCGTCGGATATGACTCCGGAACTCTGGAACGAGTTTGCAGCCAATATGCGCCGAGAGATTGAACGCGAGGTGCGTGACCGGATCCTCGGCGAACTCCAGGAACGTGGACTCCTGGGCACACAGGTGCCGGCGCCAGCACCTGCTGTGGTCTCTGCACGTCTAAAAGCATCGGAACCTGAGCCGTTTGTCCCTGGAAAACGAGACCTACCTGTGCGAAGGTGGCTCTTCCAAATGGAGGAGTACCTTTCCCTATGCCACGTGAACCAAGCTGAATGGGCGCGTCACGCTGGCATGATGCTGCGGGGAGCTGCTGCTACTTGGTGGCAGAGCTGCCACGCTACAATTTCAACATGGGAAGAATTTTCAGCATCGCTCACCATGAACTTCGAACCTGTCAACGCGGTTGAACGAGCTCGTGACAACCTCGCTGCACTACGCCAACACCGCTCCGTAGCTGAATACGTCAACCGTTTCCGGGAGTTGGTGCTGGAGATTCCCGACATCCCTACCTCCGAGCAGATGGATAAGTTCAAGCGCGGGCTGAAACCAAAAATTCGCACTGAAGTAGAGCTTCGCGGATGCACGTCGATGGATGATATGATCCGTGTGGCGGAACGCTTCGACACGATCAACTTCGCTGCGTTCCAACGCTTCAACGGTATGAGGATGGGTCACACGAATCACACTCCAGCTGCTCGTACAAACGGTCCTACACCCATGGAGTCGGGGATGATGGAGAGGCAGCCGCGAAACGCTTCAAACGTCATGTGCTACCAATGCGGAAAGATTGGGCACATCAAGCGTAACTGCCCGAATCGTCGCAGCCCAAACGAAGGACGGGGAAACGGACAGCGCCAGTAGCAGTGGGGCAGACCTCTGGCGCATCGCATGCCCCGCTTCTCCCGACCCCATTATTCATCGGCACCTCTAAACTCTACACCACATCAAACGCTCCATACCCCGCCATTATCCTGTGGGCAAAAATCAAAGATCGCTACGTTGATTTTCTGCTTGATACCGGTGCCTCCGCTAATTTCCTCTCTCCCTCAATTGCTGCTGAACTTTCTCTCCCCGAAGATCCCAACAGCAACCCGCAAGACGTGATCATGGCAGATGGTACTCGACGGTGTTGCGGACCTACCCTCCTCCCCGTACACTGCATGTTTGGAAGTCTCGAGGTGACAGTTACGTTCGAGCAAATGCACCTCGGCGGCTATGAAGGCGTGCTCGGACGACCGTGGTTGTACCAGCTTGGACCGCGAATTTATTGGCGTAACGCAACGGTCACCGTCGGCAACTACGACCTCCCATCCCGCTCCTACCGTCGACCATGGTCATCCCCAACAACTTCAGCGTCATCAACCCATCCACCCCAACCTACCCCACCTCCATCCTCCCATATCCCCCCTCTCCCTCCTCCTCTCATAGCCCCCGCGCAACAGCCAACACCACCAGGCTCCCCCGAAGTGATCAACACACCTCCTCCTTCCCCACCCCATCCAACCCAGCAGCCACGTCGTCACCTCTTCCGCCCCTTCTCTGACATTGTCACTCCACCAGCCCCCACCCCTCCTTCACCACCTCCTCCTCATCATCTCCTCGTCATCTTCACGGCTCCCAAATCTGAAGCATCACCTACTTCTCTGCCACCATCCATACAGAATCTGCTCAACGGTTATAAGGACGTGTTTCCCGATGATCTACCCGCCGAACTTCC